TTGTGGGGGATAGATGTATGGGTGTAACAGATCCAGGGTTCACGTTGGACTGCCCACTAAAACAAGCTTATCCAGTACAAATTTGCTTGACATATAGTCAAGATGTGGATCTATAAAGTCTTAGGGTTTTTCATTTTTTCTTTGTTTAATCACCTATAAATCAGACATAGTGACATTTAAAATAGAGGTTCCACCTGAAAAATATTCCTCATTGCCTTTCTGTCACACAAATACAAATGATTGTATTTCCAATTTATAGTTTGGGAGCTGTACTTGCTTTAATTCACATATGTAATTTCAGGCCGAATTTGCTCCTAAGACCCTCAGGGCTTAAGCATTAACCATATTTTTGAAAGCTCATCCACATTTTTGGTTTTATAGCTGTGTAAAATGAGATCTGAAATTCCACCTGACATACGTGACTCTGCAGGATTAATGCAACAGCAGGTATTCATTTTTAGGCACACCCCCTAATGGGCTCAGACCTTTCCAAGGAGGCCTCGGAGGTAATTGTGCGAACATTTCAGGTGATCTAACTGGCATGCGTTACATAAGCATGCTCTGTTCTTCATATTTTAAATTCAGTTTGGTGATTTTATTGTGTCCAATGATAAAATTTCAATGAAACGACTAAATCTATGCAGAAGGTCTCCAAAAATGTAAATCAAGATATTTGTCTGAGCAGATTCCCTTTTCTGAGTTAAAAAATGCTGACAGGTGAGCTTCAGGATCGTTAGAAAATCAGCTAGTAAGAAACAAAAAGCACTGAAGTTTTTTTTCAAACAATCGGTGTAAGCTGTGAAAAATTGTTTTCAAATTAGTCGTAGTTAAAGGATGACAATTCTCCTGACAATATGTTCTATCCAGAACTCCACAAGTCGAAAAAATTTTGTTTCTCCTGGTTTAATTCTGTATAAATTATTATTTTTTTTGCTATCTGATCATTAATAAAAAAAAAAAATCAACATATTAATTGATTGTTTTTTGCAGGTGTAGCGGATGTGGTCCAAACCCAGCAACCTTAGCAGCAGAGGGTGAAGATGCTCCTCTAAGCTGTCAGCTCATGGAAACTAAGGATGTCTTGCAGGTCAGATGGCAGAAAGTCTTTTAGAGCAAAAAAAAAAAGAGGAACATCTGCTCCTACAGCAAGTATTTTGGTCAAAGAGTAAATCCTGACTTTAAAGATAACGTTGAGTTTGCAGAGGCTGGACTGCATAATTCCTCCATAAGGAAGGTTACAGAGGAGGATGAAGGATGTTATCTCAGCTTCTTAAACATCTACCCTGATGGAGCTCTGATAGGGAGAACCTGAAGGTTTATGGTAAGAACCAGACTGTTTTCCAGGGTTAACTTCTATAACTAGATGTTGATCATGATGTTTGTTCTTCTCCCAGAGCTGCATGAACCCATCCTTGATGTCAGCAGATCAAAGCCTCCTGCAGAGTCAGTTGTATCCTGTTCAGCCACAGGTCGACCTGCTCCCACTGTAACACTGACTGTTCTACAGCAGAACCTCAGCTTCTCCCACTACAACAGCAGCAGTGTGACCCACAGCAACGGTACAGTCACCGTCACCACCACAGCTCTGCTGTCAGCTTTCAGCAGCACACAGGTTGGATGTTCAGTGTCAGTGCTCTCTGCTGCTCCCAGAGAGAAGCTGATCACCGTTCCTGGATTTAAAGAAACATTTGAGTCTTAAGATCTGTGTAAGTTGAACCTCTTGTGTTAATGATGTGATTTCTGTTAAATTTTCCTGATCTTTTCAACATTTTTCCTCTTTTTTTAAAAAGGTTTCACCTGGATCCTTGCTGTAGTTTCAGTAACTCTAACCTGTTTCTGTGGCATTTTAATTTTGAGAAAGTGGAGATATAGAAGAATTAGAGGTGTTTACGATGAATTAGCCCCTTGAACCCTACGGACCCACCGGCGGATCCAGCTGCTACGTGACCTCGTAATTTTACCAAACCCCCAGTATTGATGTAAAAAACATATTTGGCACAGTTTGGTGACATTTATGGATAAATGCGCCAAAATGGCCTCTCCGCCTAAGAAATTTCTCACTAATACCATTCTAAAATAAATATGATTCATCTGATTGAGTCCAAATTTGGTATATTTTTACACAACATTTAGATTTGAAAGTCTGTACTACTTTTTTGTGCTATAAATAATATTTCGGTAGTGTTTTGCAATGTTTATTTCAAAGAAAATTTTGGCGAGGTTCAAAAAATGCAAAATATTTTGTATTTTGTCCCTAATATTTCAGGCAGGGTCAAAGCTACAATGGTGCTGACACCAGAAAACCATTCTATGACATCTTACCTTTACAGACGTACCAAAAGTTTCTTCTTAAATCTAATAGCTTTGAGGCTATAAGTTATTTACTTTTGTGTGTTTTTGTCAGGCAGAAATTTATTTATACCCCCTTAGGGTGTAAGAGGTTAGAGGAGGTCTACGATGATGACTCCACATCATCATGTAAAGAACTGCAGGACTCAGAGTTTATGCCTTCAACGTGGAAAAGAGGCTGGGCAAAAATTTCAGACTTTCCAGACTAAAATCAAAAGTTCAAATATTAGAATTTTTTTTTTTATGCATAGTTCATGAAATAAACCAGAAAAAACAGCTTAATGGAAAACAAACATACAAACTCATTAAAACTCTGGGAAAAATTCTGTTAATCTGTTTCAATACTTTTTAGATTATTAGCTTTATGTTTTGAAAGTGTCTACATCTGTGTTTTTGCATGATACCAAAAACGTTTTTCACTTTATTGAGATTTCTAGTAAAAGCCCAAAACAAAGTAATACGCATCCACAAATTTAAAGCAGATGGAAATTTATATACTGTTTAAAACAATAGATTTACAAATGAGGAAATTAGAAAAAATTCTATCTGTTCTCTGGTCTAAGGAAAACAAATGGCATGGTAAATATTGCTATTTGAATTTTTATGTTAAAATTATTTTATGACCAAAAATACCTGTTTTTTTGTGAGAAGATTTCACTTAGTTAAGTATAAGAACTCTCTTTGCTTTTTGAGGCTTTAGACCTGATCGGTTAATTCTTCTAAAATGTACATCATACATGTTGCATTCAACATCTCCTCAGTTTTCTGGGAGCTGAGAATAGCAGCATCATTATTTTCCGTGCTGCTGCTAATGCAGAGATTTGAGTAAATACTGAAGAGAACAGCATAATTGACCTCTGAGTCCCAGTGGCTCACACACTGCTTTAGCTCTATTGGAATAGTTCAAGCTATTGTGTTTTGTTAAAAATGTCTAGCAATATAAAATATGGAAGACCTGTGGGATCTTTAAGTATTGTAGTTGTTGGAAAATTATCCCAAAGGATTTAAAGTTGGCAATATATGCCAGATTAGCTAAAGAGGCTGTTTCACAAACTGTACGTCTGACCAACTTTTTGGTTTCCTGACTTTGAGGATGTTCATGGTTTTTTTTTTTACAAGGTGATCTGTCATCTTTTTACCTCAGAAAATGAAAAATCAGTGCTAAACTTGCAGAAACTCAGTTTGAAACACCTGAACTATGCCTTTAAGAATGCTGTCCTACATATTTTCCAACAACAATTATGAAATATTTCAAAGGACCGATTAGTAATTGAGATGAAACGGAATAAGGATGGGTAGCAAAAAAGTTAGGGTTACAGAATTTGATGAAAATATTCAGCTTTTTTAAGGAGAAGCTATTGCTTTGGGCAAAATGTCTATTTCTTAAAAACTTTTTCATGATTTTCTTTTTTTTTTTTTTGCTTACATGAGCATCACCTGTAGGTAAAAAATGACATTTACAAACATGTTTTGTTTTTTTCCTGGTCGTTTTGATATAGATCCACTTGGGGTCGCTGTTTATCTATTATCTAATGATAAGTTACTTGAAACAAAACTTATAAACATGGAGTTTTTTTTTTTTTTGTCTGTAAAGGTTGAGGAACTGATGTGATCAGGTTTGAAATAGAATAAATGTTGAATAATTTCTGTGCAAACCCAGAAATTATCTGGAATAAAACGAGAAGATTAAACTGGAATAAATCCAGTTGGTATTAATTTAAATTAGGGCTTAAACTGTTAAGCAGATTAATTATGATTAATCGTTTACTGAAATAACCATCTACTAATTTAGTAATCAAATAATCTTTAACTGGAGCATAGAGACTCTAAAACGTGCCTTTAGCTGACAGAGCAACCCAATTAGAGCAGTAATTATGCCAAAATTGTACTGTGTTTGCATTTAAGATAAAAATATTTTTCATCTGTCATTATGCTCTATCCAGAATTCCTCAAGTGGAAGAGTTTTAGTTTCACCTGGTTTAATTTCACTAAAAAGTCTTCTCTAAGAAATCTTTAGCTATCCAATTATTTATCGAAAAAATAATCAACAGATTAATCAATTTACAAAATAATCGTTAGTTGCAACCATAATTTAAATAGAACCTGTTAAAATTGGTAATAAACAGTTATTGAGTTTAGATAGTAATAAATGACACCAAATGGGATTAACATGAAAATATATAAAATAAAATGAGCAGAACTTTCTTCACAGCTAACACTCTGAAGTTACAGAGGAGTAAATGAATTTTGATGTATAAAAGTGTCTGTCAGGACAAAGAGAAGATCTACAAATGATTACAGGAAATGCTTCCTTCCATTGCAGCTCACACAATGATTTAACCGTCTTCCTTTGAAACAGAGCATTAGTTCAAAAAAAGGGAATAAAACATGTTTCTAAACTTTAGAGCTGCAGGTTGTTTGATTTTACAGTGAAAATGTTACAAATAAACCCTCCGTGCTGCCTGAATGTTCAGGTCCCAATTTAGCAGCAACTGCAGCAGCCAATCTATTATTATTTAATGTTTTTGTTAACAATTGAACTTTATTGGAGAAATTTACATCTGCATTTAACCCATCCCCTTAGGCAACAGTGGGCTGTAAACACTTTTATATCTGTGTTGTTGATAAAAAATATTAATTGAGCAACTTACTGAATATTATTGGTTTGTTCTTCGGGTTTTTGTTCCATTGGAAGCTTCCTGTGTGAAACATGGAGGATTTAGGAAGCAGGACAAAACAAACCCACATTTGGTAAAACCTTTAAACCGTCTGATAGTAGTACCTGTTCTGCTTCTTCCTTCTACGGAGGAACATGGAGATTAAAGCTGCTAAAGCTCCACACAAAAAAACTGCAAAAATGAAACTCCATCCTAGGGAGAAAAAAGTAAAATATGTTGGAGACAAGGCTGAATGAAAAATGCTACAAAGCGTGGAGATGGACTTACGTTTAACGTCATAATCAGAGTCATCCAAACCTATAAAAAAATAAAATAACAGAACCACTCAGTAAACATCAGTCTATGCTTTATATTCCTTAGAATTTTTACAAATTAAAAAAGTTTATTATATGGTGATCATATGTGACTGACAAACTCAAAGTCTATCATTTATAAAGTGGTAGGACAAATAAAATCCTACGTTAGATGAGCATACATATTCAGATCATCTGAAAATCAAACAGATCTTCAGTTCACTTTAGCTCAATGCTTTGACTAGACCATTCTGACACATAAATCCTCTGGAAACTTCTACTCCAGTCTAAAGTATTTTGCAGCAAAATCCTTCTAGGATGTCTTGAATTTAAGTTCATCCCTCCTTCCATCAACTGTGGATGTTAAAAATCCTCCCCACAGAATGATGCTTCCACCACCATGTCTTACCACTTGGTAACCTCCAGTGTTAGCTTGCCTCTTCACACAGGATGCTGCATGTATACTAAACCATCTCCACTGTAGTCTCATCTTACCAGATCATTCTCCTAAAGGTTTGCTTAAATGGTCTGTAGGAAAAACTTGTAATTCTGCATCTTCAGTTTGTTTTTTTCCTCTAAGCCCTGATTAGTGATGATCCATCATATGAAAACCAGGGTACATTACCTTAAGTGATTTACCTAATTCCTTAGTAAGGCACTGGCAGTAAATGACTACATACTTATCCTAATAACTTTGAAACAGTTCCTCACCATCATCAGATGTTCCTTTAAATCCAGGAACGGTGATCAGCTTCTCTCTGGGAGCAGCAGAGAGCACTGACACTGAACATCCAACCTGTGTGCTGCTGGAAGCTGACAGCAGAGCTGTGGTGGTGACGGTGACTGTACCGTTGCTGTGGGTCACACTGCTGCTGTTGTAGTGGGAGAAGCTGAGGTTCTGCTGTAGAACAGTCAGTGTTACAGTGGGAGCAGGTCGACCTGTGGCTGAACAGGACACAACTGACTCTGCAGAAACATTTAATCTCCTCACATCAAGGACAGGATCATGCAGCTCTGAGAGGAGAAAAAAACATCTGTGATATCGAAAGATGATTATTCATCTCCTTCAGGTGCTCCACAGCATGTCTCCTTTCCTCACCATAGAGTCTGAGGCAGGTCCTGCCTATCAGGGCTCCTTTAGGATAGGTGTTAAACAGACATTGGTAGCAGCCTTCATCCTCCTCCATCACCTTCCTGATCACCATGGAGCAGCTCTGAAGATCTTCACACTGAAAATCCATCTTCTCTATCAGTTCAACTTTCACTCTGTAACCATATTTCTTGGTGTAGGTGGCCAGATTCTTCTGTCCATCTCGGAGGAGTTTCTGCCAGGTGACTTGGAGGACGTCTTTATCCTCAGTGAGCTGACAGCTTAAAGAGGCTTGATCACCCACTGCTGCCCACACAGTCTCCTCTGTTTCTATTAGAGCCAAGTGAGCTAAAACAAAAATTTTCAGACTCTAAATGCTATTAAAACAGCATAAAGCAACATCTGTAAAACAACATCTGTTCAATGAGCATAAAGAACAAATATCAATCATTATTGCAATTTGAATCATTAACTTGAAGTCAAACCTTCTACTCAAATGATATGGTTTGCAGACGACATTAATAATGAAAAAAATATTTAATCTTGTAAAGTATTGACAACCTCTGGACTTAAACTCACATTTTGATCCATTCAAAGCACAAGATTGATCAATTTTACAGTGATTTTAAGAGCCAGAATAACACAAAGTATCATGGATATGCACTTATAGTAAATACTAAGCTGCAGCTATAGATATAAACAACCCTGAATGTGTAATCTCAATAGGTTCAGCTTTCATCACACATCTATTGACTGGATATTTGAGGAATACTTCTTCTTAAAGCTAGTTTGATGTTTAGTTTAGTTTTTTTTCCTCTTTGGTGTTGCTTTATTTTCCGTTTTCTATCTCATTTAGGCGTAGAAGCAGGGTTCTAGATGTCACTGTATACTGTATCTCCTGTGTTCGTTTATTATGCTGTTTTGTTTTTTCTCTTTTCCATCTCTTTTTCTCTCTCCTCCATTTTTATCCCCTCTCATTTTCCATCGTTGTGTGCTTTACATTCTATTGTATTCACTAAATGCTTTTTAATAAAGTTTCATATATAAGTACAGACAGGAACCTTTATGGCAACAACCATAATGGTCTGCTCATGAAAGCAAATCTGTTGGGTTATTATCTAGGTCTTTGGCTTGGAGTCATAATGTCAAAGGAGCCCACGGAAAAACAAAATAAAAGACTTAAAACTGTGGTTTCTATTTTAATCAGTCAAACTGGATAAAACTTCTGATACATCAAATTTAATCAGTTTTTCAAATCAAGTTATTTTTATTAATGATTGCAGTGTTGTTCATTTCTCAGATGTGTTTTTACCCTTTACAGAAACTGTAAAGACTTTAGTTATTTTGCAAATAGTGATTTTATCTGTATGCTTTAATAGCAAATTTCGTACAACACACCTGTCCCCCACACAGTGACAGTAGAGCCAGGACTTTTCTGTTCCATTTTCACAATATTTATTCATATTCTTTGCTTCCAAATTAGCTAAAGCTTCGTCATACTGGATGGAGAGCAACTATAGATTTGGATTTTCAAGCTTTGCCACTCATTCTTAATAGACTTATCTCTGGAATGTCACTGGGACACATACATTGATGTAATTGTTGTTATCCTGCTGGAAGTTGAACCTCCACCACAGCCCTGCTAAAAAAAGAAGAAAAAGCAGACCCACAGCATGCTGCTGCCACCACTATATTTCAGCTTGGGGACCTGCATATGATGAAGGTTTTTCAATATCCGCAGGATATGCTTTTTGAAAAGTTAGGTTTTAGTTTAATCTTCCTGGACAACATTCATCTACAACCATGTCTCGATGGTTTTGCACCTGTCTCATTTTTCAGATGATCGATTGAACAAAGCTTAGATTATTGTTGTTGTCCTTGACCCTAAAGATTAGAATTGTTCCTGTCAAACAGTTACAAATGAGGACCGTAATTAGTTAATTGATTAAGAAGTAAGAATTTTTACAATTATATGAACCTTTTGCTTTGCATAATTGCTCTGAACTGGAACACCACACAAGGTCCCAGTTCTGTATATAGAGAAAAGTTTCACTTTCAGCAAATATAAAAACATTTCCTGTGCGAGCTTAATGTTTCCCTTTAGACAGCTCCTTCTCAGCAACTGTATTACGACAACTAAGATTAATGCATTTAAGGGATGTCTACTACAACAAACTAAATGATTAATAAAGTCATTTAATCAGATGGATCTTTCTCTCATTTATATAAAAGAGCTGAGTTTTTATCTAAGGAAGGACATCATGTGCTTATTTCAAAGTTTTGCTTTAATGTCTTTGATTGAAGATTAACTGACTTAAGTGGTTATATAAAAAATAAATAAATATCCAGCTATCTTGGTGTAAACACTGACTTACTTACAAAATCGTTTCTAATCATTCGCTAGTATGCAAATATAACCTAAAACTAGTAAAAGTAGAAGATGGATGCTTATAAAACAAGCAAAGGAAATCAGCTCTCACCTGTCTGAAGGACTGTGTTTACTAAAAGATAGATGATCATTATTGCAGGTCGCTGTTGACGCAACTTTGAAACCCAAACACACTTCCTGCTCTGTTCAGAGGGATTAGAGTCACTAGGTGGAACCAAAACCCCAGCCAAAAACTCTGCAGACAGAGTGAAGGGTTAGTACAATTCAAATGATCTTTTATGCAACTTTTGTTTCTGAGATATTCAATTCTATCATATCACAGAACCAAATGGTAGAATTTAAGAAAAAAATCAGACTGCAACAAAATAAAAACTTGTTATTGATTACACTATAGTTTAGTTATAGTTAATGTACAGTATGAGGAGGTTTTAATAGGTCATGGATAAAGAGGCTAAATGAAAAAATAACAGCTTTCTTTGTATCTCAGGTAGATGATGGTTGACAGACCACAAAATAAGGCCATGGTTATCAAAACACAACTCACTCTGCAAATAAGAGTAATAGCTCTGAGCATCACCTATGTGTTAAGAAGACTCAGTCATCACCTGCAGCAGGTGGTCATAATCTGGTCAATAAAAACATCTAATAAATAAAATACATTATTGTGTTTTAATGATCAAATCTTAATTAAAAGCTAATCAACCATAATATTTTAAGGACCAAAGTAGAATGAAGCTTGTAAAAGTATAAGCAAATGATTGCTTTGGTTAATAAAAACAAATCATTTCTTGTCTCTAGGTAAATACTCTTGTCATGGTCACAGGAACAGTTTAGGAGCTTTAATAATAGCGAGACAGACGGAAACATCCCAATACATCAGGCAAATACCCTTCTTTTCCTTAAATTTAGAATAAGTGTTTTTATTATCAGCCACAGTTTTCAAAGACCCATTAAGAGTCTCTTTGATTATGACATGCAGCTGAAACAAAACAGCCTTAAACTACAAAATGAATCTCTGCTTATAACAATTTGAGTCATAAACTTCCCTGATTAAACACATCCCAACTTTATACTGAGAAATTTCACTTTGCTTTCTTAAGATTACTACTAAACAAAACATTTAAAGATATTTTATATAGGATCTAATTATAGAAAATCTGATCAAACCGGAAACTGAAATCTTGTGAATTTCGTCTCCAAATTACTTATAAAAAAAACATATAATATATATATTTATTCTTAAGGTATTTGATTTACTTTTACAAGACATTTCTAAAGTATTGAAACTCCTGTCACATTTTCAAACCACAACCAGTTTGTGTACTTTGTTAGTATTTTTATTTGAAAGACCAATTTGAAGTAGTACTTAACTTTGAAGTGGATCGAAATGAATAGGTAGTTTAAAAATATTTAGAAAAATATAAAATCTGAAAAGTTTCTATTAGTGAAAGGTATTTTTGGTGCGATGAAGCACGATTGTAAGATTAAAGAAAAGCTTGACAAGATTTTCAACATCTTTGTTGAATCATCATGAGTATTTGTTAGAAGTTGTAAAACATAGTTTCCCTTTCAGTACATGATTATTTACTAGTTCCTTTCGGTTTATCATCTAAAAAACCCCAAAACCCAGTATAGATTGTGATTCTGACATGATAAAATGTGAAAAAGTTTAGACGTCATGAAATATTGTGACAGCCAGTTTATTTAAAACAAAACGTACAGTGACAAAAGAAATAAAGATTCATAAAAATAAATCATAAAAAATATGATTTCTGGTCCTCCAATAGAGTCTGTCACTCATGAATTTAAGTCTTCATGCAACAGTTTTGTTTTAATCTCCACATCTGGTTAAAATACAATGCAGCAAAAATAGATTTGGTAGATTTTACTAAACCCATTGAAAAGCTTCTATGAGAATAAATTCTATATTTCAGTCATTATTAGCACAGTAAACAGAAGTTTAATTTCGGCAGATGAGGTCACCATCCCAGCAGACGTTAGCGCTACGCTTGTTTCCTGATATACTGTTATTGCGTAACTTCACGTTATTCCTTTGCTAGTGTTGAATATAACAGTGGGCATGTTTACCTTATTTAGTGGCTTGAATGACAAGGAAGGGACAACGGTACTTGACATCGCAGCAAACAATAAAGTGGTCATCGTCCTTTGTAACAGAGGATTGGTGGAAACAGCAAAGTGACTCAATGAAGGTAAAGGAAAGCTTTGTGTTTACACCTTTCAGCATTCTCTCTCTGGTTCTTTTCTCAAGAAGAGATAACTTGGGACAAACTCTTTAAATAACAATTCATAATCTATTCGTATCAAATAACCATGATGACAACAGGATTTGACATAAATTGTAATGTTACTCAGACCAGAGAATTTGCTAAGCGTTACAGATCGCAGCGCTTCTGAAAGGGGCACACATCTCGTTAAAAACACATCCTCAGACATAACTCTAGAGACAGCATGAGGCTGTTTGCCTTCAATATCAATCATTTTTCTTTTTTTTTTTCACAGCTTGAGCTTTTCATGAAACCTACAGTTTGGGAGTCTACTATAGATTTATTATCTGATTTATTTAATGTTATAGCTTCAACATTTTGTGTCACACTAGCCTTGTAGGCACTTTCTATTGACTTCAATTCATTTCCCACTAACTTATATTGCCTAATCCAGACCCTTAAACTAACTATTACCAACACCTACCTAACCCTAAACTAAACTCAATTCAACTTTAGTTCTAAACCTCACCCCAACCACAGTGTCTACATGCACCGTGGAAAGCTTACCATTGTGCATTTCACAAATAAATATTTTAAAAAGATTTTGTTTTTTTCAATCTTTTAAGTCTATCTTTAGATGGAAAGCCTTCAAAATCAGGTGGTGATGACGCTTCTGGTGTTGAAATTTGCTTTATGGGTTTTCTCTGGTTACATGTCTTTTCTTCAGTGTTTCTTTGCAGCAGAGGATATTCTTCATTCCTTAAAAGAAAAAAGTGCTTTGAAATGAAAAATCCTCAAAATTTCATCAATAAAGTGAATGTGATATTTCCTGAACTATCAATGAAAATATCAATAAGTACAGAAAAAAGGAGAATAGGTAACTTTTAGTAATGATAAATGATCAAACTAGAGACTTACTGAGTAATTCTTCTTTGGGTTCCATTTTTTTCCACATTTTGAAGCCTCCTGTGTGACACATGCAGGGTTTAAGAACAACAACAACAATATAGCCGAAACCAATAGACTCTCTGATAGTAGTACCTGTTCTGTTTTGTTCTTCTGTGCCAGGAAATTGGTAAAAAAGCCACGAAGCAGAACACCACAACAATCAAACAAACTCTTTTAGAGAAAGAGCAAAGATGTTAAAGATATGGCTGAATAAAAATGCCACAAAGCCAAGACATTAACTTACCAATAGCTTTGTAATAAGGTCCAGAGTCTTTGTCCAAACCTGTCCAAAGATTAAATAACAGAACCACTTAGTTCTAGCTTTGTAGTTTTTCTACATTTTCCCCAAATTTAACCACAACCTTAAATTAATTTATTTGGGATTTTAGGTTATATAACTGATTTCTGGTCCTCCAATAGGAGGACCAGAAATCATGTTTATAATTGTTTCCCCTTGGATTCCCTCTTGCAAGTTCCACCCACACCTGCTCCCCATTCAGCTCGTTAGTCCATCCTTTGTTTTGTTCTCCTTAAATACTCCACCTCTGCAGTCACTCAGTGCTGGTTCCTTCTCATTGCTGTTCTTGTCTACTCAGCTCGTCTCTCCCCGGGTCCTCAGGCTCGTTTTCCCCTGATGTCTCCATGGTTTTGGTTCGTTTAATATTTTAAGTTGGATTTCTGCCTCTGCTACCTATGGTCTGCAACTAAACCTCTCAGAACTCATCTCTGCTTCACTCGTTTCTGCATCTGGGTCCACAAGCAACCTCACCACTCATTGTTGACATATGGGCTTTGTTTTAAATAAACTGGCTGATTGTCAAAATATTTCATGACGTCTAAACTTTTTCACATTTTATCATTTCAGAATCACAATCTATAATGAAAACAAGGATGATGAGCGTGCGCATCATCCTTTTTTCATCTGGCTCCCTGTCTCCTTTAGCCTCTATTCCAACAGCAGTGATAGGTCTAAGGGGAAGAAAACGTAGCTATTCGCATTTATATGCTAATGTATAGTAGTTATCTTTGCTTAAAGACTACAACTGGGGCCTATGCACCAACATCTGTATTTCTCAGGCCAGTAAAACTTCCTATAGTTGCCCATCTTCTGTGTGAGTCTTTCTAAGCTGTATTAATCCATCACATAAAATCCCCATTTCAGTTTCTCTTTGTCAGAGGCGTAGCCAGAAAATTTCTACAAGTGTGGCCAGGCAATAACCAATGTACAATTAGGGGTGGTCGAAAGGGGATAGGCACCAGAACCTCAGGGTCAAACTACACTGTTCCAACAGGAAAATTAACGAGCAAAACATCCATATTTTCTAAATAAAAGGTATAGTGAATAAAATTCTTTCAGTTTTGAGATCTGGGGCGTAAATATTATCCATCGTCATTACTTACCTACTTGTATCAATAAACATTCTGCTTAAAATAGATCTTTACAAGCACTAATATCTACATAAATTGATTATTTGATAGGTTTTTATTAAAATTGTTATTCATCTATGATTTCACTGAAGAACTGATGACTTGCAGAGACACATTTTCCACTTGAACATTCCACTTGAGAGTATTACTGCTGCCAAGAGTCCAAGGGTATTGATTACTACTGCAAGACGCAGTCGGTCAATGACAACAAAGTTATCCTAATAACTTTAAAACAGTTCCTCACCATCATCAGATGTTCCTTTAACTCCAGGAACGGTGATCAGCTTCTCTCTGGGAGCAGCAGAGAGCACTGACACTGAACATCCAACCTGTGTGCTGCTGGAAGCTGACAGCAGAGCTGTGGTGGTGACGGTGACTGTACCGTTGCTGTGGGTCACACTGCTGGTGTCGTAGTGGGAGAAGCTGAGGTTCTGCTGTAGAACAGTCAGTGTTACAGTGGGAGCAGGTCGACCTGTGGCTGAACAGGATACAACTGACTCTGCAGAAGCATTCGATCTCCTGATATCAAGGATGGGATCATGCAGCTCTGGGATGAGGAAAAAAAGGTATGCAAGATCACATTTGTGTAGAAAAGAGCCATTACAGATGTTTTGATGCTCCACAGCATGACTGCTTTACTCACCATATAGTCTGAGGCAGGTCCTGACAATTAGAGCTCCTCTAGGATAGGTGTTAAACAGACATTGGTAGCAGCCTTCATCCTCCTCCATCACCGTCCTGATCACCATGGAGCAGCTCTGAAGATTTTCACAATGAAAATCAATCTTCTCAAGACCAGCTCTAACTCTGTAACCATATTTCTTGGTGTAGGTGGCGAGATTTAGTTCCCCATTGGAAGGGACTTTCTGCCAGGTGATTTGGAGGACATCTTTATCTTCAGTGAGCTGAAAGCTCAGAGAGGCTTGGCCTCCCACTGGTGCCCACACAGTCTTACTTGTTTTTATGGGGGCCAACTGACCTAAAAAAAACAAAAAAAGAATGTCTTTAGAATTAATACTCTACCATCATCTCTCATCAGCTTCCTGGCCCTTTGAAGAAAAGTACCCAAATCACATTAAGATGCCCATGCCACTATGTTTTTAGCATACAAGGTGATGGATGTTGTTAGGTTTACAGCAAACATGGCAGAGACCTCTCCTGGTAAGTTTGCACTTGTGCAATGTTTTCTTTTTCCAGATGATGGGATAAACAGAGATGTGTGTGAGATATAACTTCATTGAACCCAAACCTTAGCATGGTATAGGAGTTTCAAGGTCTAAAAGGTCTTAGATTCACATGCTGGAGGGACGTTCACAATGCAGATATTTTATTTTTTTTTGTCCTGTATCTGACATTTTCTTGAAAGTCTGAATAATACAAATCCAGTAAAAAAAAAAAAAAAGTAAAAAAAAACCCAAAACAATCCACTTGACTTTGTTTCCAACTTTGAATATGTGTCACTTACCATCCAGGAACCTTTTTTGATTTAAAATGTTAGAAATAGCATTGAGTTTGAGGCTTTATACAGTAGCCCAACAAAGCCTTGTTTTTGTTTAAAAAACATGCAAATTTAAAAGGATGAACGAGTGGAATGGGGGTCGTTTGGCTTCTTTTGGCAGCCTGCAATGCCCCATACCCAGCTATGTCCTGTCTGTTCCCCTTCTGTTCCCCACTAACAGGGGGAATAATACAAGTATGTGAATAAGTTTGTCTTAAATTAATAGAATATTTAACTTAAATGTTTAGGTAGTCATATATGTGGCAGGTAATGTTTGTTTTATAAAAGGTTTTATCTGTCCCTTTGCAAATTGGTTTGGTGCAGTGCGTGAACTACAAATCTGATCAGTGACGTCCACAGAGGGGCACTATGTGGTGCTAGAGCACCTGCCCTTTTCTCTTCTGGACAAAAAAGTGCCCTCCTGAAATGAACTAAAATTATGGGCCCTACTAAAATACTTGCATCTACTGTAAACTAAGAATCTAACATCTGTGTTTATTAATAATTATATGCAGCTCAGGTAAAATAAACAATGCGAAATAAATGAGTTATTACTGGATTACTGGCACTAATAAAGGGCGTAGGTTCGATTTCCACTTTGTTAGGGACCTTATTGGTCCAGAGTTTCATTAATTTCATTTTACCAATGCAAAATTGTGCCTGCTTTTTTATGCTTGACGTGAGCATCAGGATGCATTTCGTTTAAAGAGAAAGGCAGAATTTCTTGCTACATTTATACTAATTTTATAAGCACTACACACACTAGATGCTGTTTATCAATGTTAAAAGCATCACCGGCTCTGATGAATGAGGAATTATGCCTTTTTTCCACTTTGAAAAGGTTTGCATTTAAACTTACCAGTAACTAAGACAGTAGGTAAATATGTGCCTATTTAACCAAATATAGTCTAAATATGCCCGCGGATTTATCCTCCATTTTCTTTTGAAGATATATAATTGTGCAAAGGTAAACAGGTGAAACACTCTTATTTTTTAAATGCTCTCTCTGTATCATGAACCAACGCAAAATGACAAATTCAAGGGACGCAAATACATTTATTGTATTTACATTTAGTGGCATCATCTACAAAACACAACACTAAGAATGGGACTAAATTTATTCCAATATAAAATCACTTTTAACAATTATTAAAAGAAAATATAACACCATCTTGTCTGTAATGTAATAATATTCAAAATAAACAGCCGGATTCAAAAATGTTTTATTTAACATTCAAACACTAATGTTTGTACTAATTAACTTATGGACTATGTGGAAATCTATGTGAGATAAAATCAATGTAAATAGTGTTCCTCTGTTTGTTATTGGCTATATAATATTTTTAAAAGTAGAAATAGTCAAAGAAATAGCAACTATAGGCTTTCTAAACAAAAATATAAGATGTTTACGCGCCATGTCGTGTTGTTATACTCTATAAAAGAAATAAAACCTGCCTCAAAGGGTCGTCATAAAATTAAAACAGTAATTGCAATGAAGTATTGTTAAAAGGGAAACCCTCATATTTTCTTTTTCAGTCGGCTGTGGCTAAGAACCAGCAATCAGTCGCTTTCACGTGTTTTAGTGTAGATACGTTTTGTTTGTTTTTTTTCATCAGGACTAGTTTTGTAGCCTAATATTAATTGAAGAAACTAGCGTGAATAAAATTATTATTTCGTGCTCTAAGCACGCACACGCTCGTATAGAAAACAGCCAATCAGGAAGAGAGAAGGCGGAACTTGAGGCAGAACAACCAATGAGAGTGGAGCTAAACCGCATAGTTACTGATTTAAAGGACAGGAAAAACCGGTCAGGATTCAGTCGGAGCGGCAGCAGCAGCTGCAGCTGCTCACACAGTGGCTGTGTGTGATCCACCACGCTCAATTGTAAATTGTAAACATGTTATATAAAAAATGTTATTCACATCGAATTATTGGTAGGGACAAATAGGTCGGTCCAAAATTTTGGTAGGGACATGTCCCTATGGTCCCTATGCAAACCTACGCACTAATGCAGGAACCGTGCAAACTACACTTAGTATGAATATTTGGTAATAGGCTAAGGCTTCAAAATCTTAACTCATTATCTTATTATATTTTTACAGTTGACAATTCCGACCTTATAGGAGGCTTTAGATTCTATAAAAACTCACCATAACACAAGACAGCATTTCTGTGGATGTTTCATTTTGGTACATGTGTTTAAACATATTTAATGGACCTTTACATCCCTCTGGTCCCTCCTTTATCAATCCTGGATAACTGAGTTGTTCTGCACATCCTCTCTGTATGTGGTTGGTGTTTTCTTGGCTGATCTTTTGAAAATTAAAATGCAATGGTTCTTTTCTGTTGTGGATCTCCTATGGGTTTGAGAGGCAAACCTGGAAGCTTTAAGAATTTAATTTAGTTTATTGTTGGTTTAATTAATCCTAAAATCCTAAGGGAGATTATTCATCTAGACTGAGCAATGGACTAAACCTGGGAGTAAATCAGGAGGCTAAATTAGATGAAACAAGGATTAAAGCTTAATATAAAAAACCAAACAAAAAAGAAAACAGTTCTAGATGAAGAGAAAACAAACCATTTGATATACATATATATATATATATATATATATATATATATATATATATATATATATATATATATATATATATATATATATATATATATATATATATATATATATATATATATATATATATAGTCAGCAGCTCTTTTGTGGAAACAAAGCTGGATTAGGTCCATCTTACTTCCTGTTATACTACAATAATTAACTAAATGAAGGAACACTATAGCATCAACATTTCAGTGATATGGGAAATAAGTATTTTCTTGTATGAACCTTTCTGGATATTTTTATTTTATTTATTTATTTTATTATATCAACACAGGATCCTTACTGGATAGTTTTCTTACCAGCAAAAAATCTCACTTTTGCTTTCGTTTAAAAAAAAAAACAAATAGCCTTTACTTCACTGTAGGGCTAAACTGATCATTCAATTTTTAATTAACATCCACCTATGTTGATGCCAACCCTTTGGCAATTTTACTTTAAATCATAATAAAAAGTTTGTAAATATTTCAAAAAACATACTTAGTTTAAAAAATATATAAAAAATAATCCCTCACCTGTATGAAGGATGGTGTTCAATAAAAGACAGTTAAATAAAACATCGGCTCGCATTTTGCGATTCTTAACCCCTCCTCATATTTCTCGTCGTCGCTGATGATTTGCAGCTGAGATAAAACCCACATTCGCACTTCGTAATGCGGAAGTGACGCTGTATAAGGCAGGCAATTATGGCATTTATTCAAAGCAAACAAACTACTTCCTCGTCACAACCAGTCCTACTCGTCAGACCTGTAGTTTTAACTGTCCTGAATTAGCTACATATTTTTTTAACAGAACCCTAAATTAAATTGTACAAGTAACGATAAAGTTTCAGAGACATATAAATCTTTTCAAATTTTGATAGGTCTTTTTTTTTTTTTTTACATTTATTATCTTGTGTGAATATGTATTTGATAAAATCCTTTGTTGTCAACACAAACATTCCAGACATCCAATATAACCTTCTTCCCATCTGGCATGAGCATTCAGATATTTTGAATATAATTCTTACTCCAAATGATGTCTCTCCCCCCATTCATAAAAATGGAGCTTCTTACTTTCAGATGTCTAAAATGACAGTCCTCTTATTAAAAATTAACATTCTAGATGTCTTGAAATTAATTTCAGATCTCCTATTTCATTTAATACTGTTCATATTGACCATTTTATATAAGCGAATATAATATTCTAGACATCCAGAAATTAAATTTCTTAGTTAAAAACTATATCTCTACTAGTAGAAATGTCATTACATATAGTCATTGACTAACCTGCATTGAAAAAATGGGGCTCTGAAGAGTTTGATCCAGAAAGGCAACAATGGAAAGATAAATTTCTATTAAAAGTGTTAATTTATGGAAGAAGCTTGAAAATTGAATAGGGGATGGATATAAGTTTCTACTGCTTTTGAATATTATTGAGTGAATTAAATAAATTAAATTATATAAACTGTGTCTAACCTGACATAAATGGATTGCCTCTACACTGCTCAGTTTGAGTGTCCCACCTGAAGCGAAGCTGCAATTAAAGTTCTTTTAAGGTCATTGAGGCATGCAAACTACAAGGTGGCAATCCCTAATGAGAGAAAAACAACCTATGAAGGAAAAATATACTATTGATCTAAGATTGAACAACCAGCTTAACATTGAACTTATTGGATGGCCATTATGCAAGTTAATCTAATCTGAGCCAGTGTGCAGCCAGTCTTGATTTTAGACGATCTGAAATTGGAATCCTACTAGTAAGAACTTAATATCAGATATGTACAAAAAGTACATTTTTCCATAACACATATATGTCCATAACTGATAAATGTAACAACGTTTGCACACATTTTTTTTTTTTTATGTAAGCAGCAAAGATATAGGAAGAATGGCAATCAAGGAAATCCACAACTAAATAATTCTTAATAAACCTGCAGTTGTAGATATCTGGAATTACATTTTTACTAATAATACATTTTTGGTGAAATTATCTGGAATGTTTTCTTTATTTTTGATATGTGAAATAATAAAAAAAAGCCACCAGTAACAATTGGTTACTGGTCTTAAATCCTTTTCAGACATCTAGAGGGGAATTTTTTGTTGTTGTAGAGATACAGATATTTCCACCCACCCCACCATTTTCTCGCGCTTATTCCTTGTCAGGGTTACGGTGGATGAGAGGCGGGGGGACACCCTGGACAGGTCGCCAGTCTGTTGCAGGGCAACATAGAGACAAAAAAAAGACACATAACCATGCTCACACACACTCACACTTAAGGATAATTTAGAAAAGCCAATTATCCTAGCAGTCATGTTTTTGGACAGTGGAAGGAAGCCGGAGTACCCAGACTAAACCCATGCATGCACACGGAGAACATGCAAACTCCATGCAGAAAGACCCCGGCCCAGGAATCAAACCCAGAACCTTCTTGCAGCAAGGCAGCAGTGCTACCCACTGCAACACCATGCTGCCTGATATAGATAATTATATTAGTTTAATTATATGCTTATTTATTATGTTCCATATATTTATACTATAAATGCGCATCTCTATTTTCATTTTCTACTCTTATTGGTTAATTTTACATCTTTTCCTTCATTTCATTTTTTATTGCTCTTTGTTTATGAGTGACAGTGTCTTTCGGTGTTGTGTTGTTTCAAGAAAACTATTTTTCCAGAGGTACAAACCAAAGGGATAAATAAAGTTAATCATAATCTGGATATCTAGAAGTTAGAAGAAAATACACACAAATGGGTAAAAGTCATTTGTACTGGCAGGTTTAGGAAATGTTGGATTACACAAGCCTGGAGGAACCCTAATCAACACTTTGCTGTCAGATTGTTACCTAACAGCACTTTGATCGGATAGAAGTGTGTTTATATAGGACTAAATTATACAGTGATATTAGATAAAACAAGAGATAACATTTCCATGGAAGAACTGATGGATTTAACACATAATAGTGTTAGTTTGTGTCCTAATTACTAACGACAACATTAAAATGCATAAATTCTTCATTGTTAGATTATTTTATGGAGCGTTTTCCAAACACAACATTGACCTTTTGAGGCATTATATGTAATTCCAACACAAGTAGTAGGGCTACTCAAATGTGAAGTAGATGGAAATTAATGCATTGTTTTCAAAAGATTTTTTTTTTTTTTTACAAATTAATGAATTAAAAAGTATGGCATGCATTTATGCCAAGCTTGGGGCAAGACTTCTAGCAGATCCCATCTGACTGATATTTGGCTCTTCTGCAAATCTTGAAATGACTTAAACTAAAATCTTTGCTACTGAAGCTGCAGTAAAACATGTTAATACAAAGTGTTGACTGAAATGGGCTGAAAAAATGCATTCAACACTCTTCAGTTGCATTTTAACTGTAAAAAGTCTAAAAGAAAAAAACATCACAATTTACCACTGGAGGTTTGACTGTGATTTTCTGGAAAATGTTTAATTGGTTTGAATACTTTCCCTATGCTTGGTGAATGTATCTATAGGTAAAACAAGACAGACCGAGAGGATTAAAGGAACATTTAAGTCGCTCAACTCAAATTACAAACTTTGACCAGAAAAAATATTAATTGATTTTTGAGACCACAGCTGTGCAAGGTCATCACCTGCTTCTTATAGCTCATGGGTCTATGTGTTGCATCATGTTGATGTTTAGCTGTCTGTATCAGAAACTGATACTCCATCCATGTCTTGAACTCCATGCAGCTTGCTTCTATGCTTCAGGGTTACAGATAGCTATCCTCTATCACACCGGCTCCAAGATGTGCCCATATCCTGTGTATTCTTAAAGACACGAAGGCTGTCTTGATTAGAGGACCTCCGTACACACCGTGACATCCACCACATGAAGGAAGGCCTTCTGCTCTGTCTAATCTGACTAACAAAATAACAATGCACATGATGTATAAATAATAAACCTAACAGAAAAAAGGGAAAAGGTTATACCAACCTTTTTTGGGTAGATGTAAATAAAATAAAGATGCTTTCAACGAGGCTTCCCACAAGAAAAATCATCTTTATAGTTTAAACAGATAAATCAATACATTTTAAAGCAGTTTAACAAGAACATGGAAATTATCAATATAAAATATATTTCTGTCCCCTACTGTAAAAAAATAATTGTTCATGAATTATGAGAAAAAAATGACAGTCAGAGATTAGTTCCTCACAGAAACACAGATAGAGAAATATACAGACAGTTTCACCTACATATCAGTGTTTGGTTTATCAAATAAAACAGAACCCTAATTTAGACCAAACATAACCAACAGGGTCTTCTACTCTCATGTTAAATTGTCAGACTCATCAGAAAACAACCTTTTTGGAGCATATGAAGGTGATGCTTTGGCTCTATTGTTTTCTGGACTTTTCTTGGTAGATGTTCTCTGTCTACACTCATTCATCAACGTCAGTAAAGGTGTTTTGACCACTTTAGCAGAAGCCCTGGAAAAGACAGAAAGTATACAATAAAACCAGTTAGCAAAGTTAGACAATGAAAAAACACGATGAAAAGAATGATAACAAAAAGACCTGATGAGACAATGAGTCACAGATTATAATAAACAATATTCCTCTTTAGTTTGACTTTAGATTGAAATACTTTTTGGTTTCCCTCATGAAGTTTTCAGCCTAAACTATGTTATAGTGCCACCTTGTGGATATATATGATATATTCACATATAACAAGCAGCACCATTGAGTTTTGTCTGCATTATGAAATAACTTAAACTGAACTAAAGAGAAATGTACTGTTTTAAAGGTTGATATAAAACTATAAATAATGACTTGTTGGCATAAATATTATATTTGGACTTAAAATATTGAGACTATGTTAAATTATTTGATCTTCTTTTGGAATCAGTTAATTATTTTAGATTGGATTATAATGTATAAAATATCCATAAAACAACCTACAACAGAGCCCTGTGGTACGCCTCTAGGAAATTATATCATTCAGCAGAAATCTGCATACTAAAGGTCTGAATGAACAGGAGGAACTGATACCAGATCTGGTGACAACTGCATTTAAAAAAAGATTGAAGGTAGAACTAGAACCACATCACAAACAGAACTAAATTACTTTCTGTGCGAAAATGTTCTCACCCTTCCTTAGGGGTTGTTCTTAATGGTGTTTTGTTCTGCTCGGGGCCCCTGAGGGAAGAAAAGTTGTAGTTTATAACCAGCATTAAGATGCTTTAAAAGGTTGTAGATGAAAAACGGCGAAAGGAGAAAATTACCTGTTTTTATAAGTTTTATATCTCCAGTAGGTGAAGATTGCGAGACAACAAGAACAGGCCAGAGTTACCACAACCACTGCGTAGATCCAGTTGAAATCTTTCAGAAAAATAACAAAAATTTTACAGAATCAATCAACTAAACAGAAATCAGACAGCAAAAATAGAGTTTAAACTTACTCTGATCTACAGACTCTTCCCTCGGGTCTAAATCCACAGACTTTTCTTTTAAACCTGTCAAAGAAAACAAACATCAGAATCCAGAACTGAGCATACATGAGAGTCTTAAAAAGGGTTCCTCACCATCTCCAGATGTTCCTTTAAATCCAGGAACGGTGATCAGCTTCTCTCTGGGAGCAGCAGAGAGCACTGACACTGAACATCCAACCTGTGTGCTGCTGGAAGCTGACAGCAGAGCTGTGGTGGTGACGGTGACTGTACCGTTGCTGTGGGTCACACTGCTGCTGTTGTAGTGGGAGAAGCTGAGGGTCTGCTGTAGAACAGTCAGTGTTACAGTGGGAGCAGGTCGACCTGTGGCTGAACAGGACACAACTGACTCTGCAGAAACATTCGATCTCCTGATATCAAGGATGGGTTCATGCAGCTCTGGGGAGAGAAAAATAAGAAATCATGTGATTTCATGAGAGTTGGAGCGATTATTACTTTAAAATGCTGCTCTAATAAACAAATGTTTTCTGTTTCCTCTTTGTGAGATGTTCTAGCAGTGTGCAGACGTTGCCTTTTTCTCAAACTAACTGTTTCCTACCTTTCTAAACTTCATATTCCAGCTACCGGTACTAACTTCAGTGTATTTTTGTAGGATTTTATATAACACACCAACACTGTATATTCCATAATTATAAAGATTTAAAACAATGAAATATTCATCCATCCATCCATTTTCCGTCACGCTGGGGTCTCTAGGGATGCAGGGGCCTATTTCCAGCTGTAAAAGGGCGAGAGGCTGGGTACACCCTGGGCAGGTCGCTATCTCAGGGCAGAGATAGAGATAGCTGAGATGTTTTCATCTTCCACAGCATGTCTCCTTTCCTCACCATAGAGTCTGAGGCAGGTCCAGCCTATAAGAGCTCCTCCAGGATAGGTGTTAAACAAACATCTGTAGCAGCCTTCATCCTCCTCCGTCACCTTCCTGATCACCATGGAGCAGCTCTGAAGATTTTTGTGCTGAAAATTCATCTTCTCCTTCAGATCATCGTTCATTCTACAACCAAATTTCTTGGTGTAGGTGGCGAGATTCTTCTCTCCATCAGGGAGGACTTTCTGCCAGGTGATCTGGAGGACATCTTTTTCCTCCTTGAGCTGACAGCTTAGAGCGGCTTGGTCTCCTACTGCTGTCCACACAGTCTGCTGGGTTTGAATCAGAGCCTCACCTGTATGAAGGAGATCAGGAGACTGTAACCTGAACCTGGCTTTTACAACCCCTCATAAAACCCTTACTCTGATTCAAGGTTTCACAGTTACTAACCACAACATATTTTACTTACTCTTTCATTTTTATTTATAAGTGTTGCATGCATTTTGAGGATTTTAGAGTATCTGAGTAAATCAGGTACAAAAAAAGCCCCAAATTAAATATTTTTGTTAAAACAAAAAAACCCCAAAAGAATGTATAAAGGTCCTTAGTAATTAGTTTTCAACACTATTCCATATTTGTCTCTTGCATATACTTTAAGTCTGTGGTTGAAAAACGATAAGATATTGAAAAGTTCAGTATTACTGGACATGTGTTCTGTAACAATGAAATGAAATAATCTGCTGCTACTTACAAAGCATTTCATTTTGATAAGAACATGGCTTCTCATTGATTATCAACATAGAACTATGACATAAAGATAAATATATATGTATATGTTTATGTTTATCTTACCATTAATGAAAATTCCCGACAGGATAAAAAAATATAGGACAGCAAAGGTTTCCATGATTGCTATGTGTGCGCCAGAATTTGAACTGTGGGAGGTGTAACTGAAGGGGCGGTAGGTAGGTATGGCAGGCCGTTTTGACATTTAATAACTTGACTGTAATCTAGATGTCTCAAATGAATTTCTTCCTATTCATAATTACCATTGCATGAATCTAAAATAACATTCGTCCTATCCAAAATAAACATTTTATATATCTTACTGTAATTATTACTAGTGCAACTGAAATTCCTATTTATGTGTATTGGGCTTTTAATTCCAGATATCTAAAATAACATTATTTCTATCTAAAATAAAAATGTTGGATGTCTAAAACTGAATCAGATCTCTATAATATAATTAATACTAGTCATAATGATAATTTCAGATATCAAAAATAATTTAGATTCTAAATTTATAGAAATTGTTGTTCTTTACATTAAAAATATATTTTTACAAGTAGAAATGTCATTACAGATATCAACTAATTATTTTGTTTAGTTAAATTAGAATTCCAGATATCAGAATATTAATAATGCCTATCCAAAACGCAGCTTTAGATAGCATGCTATCTATAATAGAAATATGACTAGCCAGCCTGCCAATTTTATTTTAAAACTTAACCCCATTATTCTTTTGAAAGTTAGTCAAAAAATGCCTGTATGTTAAACTGGATTTTGTATAGGCATTATTCAAATTTAGATATCTGAAATTCCAATTTAACTAGTCATATTTCAATAGTTGATATCTGTAAGGAAATTTCTACTATCAAAAATATATCTTTAATGTCAATAATTGGATTTCTGGATATGTAGAATATTATATTAGATCTTGATATCTTAAATTTTCATTTTGACTAGTAATAACTGTATTGTGGAGGTCTAAAATTGAAGAAAATGCATGTCAGAATTCTGTTTTAGATATGAAGAACATTATTTTAGATATCTGGAAGTAAACACCCAATGCATATGAATAGGAAATGTGATATAATTTGTAGTAGTAAGAATTACATTTAAGATATCTGAATTCTTTATTTAGATAGGAAGAATTATGTTTTTTTATGTCTGAAAAAAAATGCATTTTAGACACCTGAAATATATATTCAGTCAAGTTAATAAATGTGAAAACGGTAACTTAGAATTTGTAAAGAATTCTAGGTATCTGAAAGTTTAATTTTACTAGTACATTATTTTTTTAATTTTACGTTTTGCTGGCAAATATGTAATTAAAGATACCTATATTTGAAATTAGACAAGTAGGAATGTAGTTTTGACCAGAAGAATCTTATTTTAGAAGAATATTTTTTTATGGAACAACAAATGGAACGTAAGAGAGGATAGCGCTTCTAATAAATGCTAAAATGACATGCCACAGCCTTTCAGCACTTTACTTTCACTTTACTTTCACTTTACAAGTTTAACCCAGTTGGATGGGTTCCCATACATAGCAACGGTTGGATTCAGCGCGCCATCTCCAAAAGTCATAGTGCTTGATACCAGCAGGTGGCAGTAGTGTAACACGTTTAGTTTAGGGGTAGAAGCTTCAGTAACATGTAGCCCACAGTGTAACCATGGGATACAATTCCACAACTTCCTGAACTTCAGCCAACTCCTTTGTGTACTCAAAGGTTTGAGTGCACAGGTTCAAGCATGCAAAATCTACAGAATGTGGAATGTACAGTACAATTCTTGTAACAGAGAAAGAGGAAGTGTAATTTTACTACTTGAAACTGATTTCAAATCTGCAACTAAAAATTATTTTGTTTTCGTACAGATACAGTAAAATATGAATACTTTGGTCATTAGAGTAGAATTTTTTTCTTGAGCACAGGCACTGAAGCTTATTTACTTTTATAAATATGCAATAAATTAGTAAAATAAAAATGTATTAGCCATATACAAGACATGCCTTAAGTAAGGAGGAAACAACAAAAAAAAAAACATTAGAATGTAACATAACAATGAAAGCTCACAGCCAGGATAACCAAGGAGTGGCTCTAGAGAAGCATATGAGGGTTCTGGCCAGTCCCCAGACCTAAACCCAATAGAGAATCTTTGGAGGGAGCTCAAACTCTTACTGTTGATAATTAAACAAACACATTTTTTAAGCCTGTCCAAACGGATCAATCCCAGCATGTTCAGCTGTCAATAATTATACAAAAGTGACACTCTAAATAAATTAAATATTTTGAGATATGAGGTATTTTGAAATACCCAAAACATACATTTTTAAATGCCTTGTGTTTTGCCATTGCAAATGCATGTTAAAAAAACAAAAAAAACAAAAAAAAACTGAATGTATCGCCCTGAATCTGTATACAGTATGAGGGGCGCTTTTTTTTTTAAAGAGAACCTCAGCATTTTCTAAAAAAACAGGTATAAACAATAGACCGTGACCAGTTTGATAAATTAATGTCGATTAAAAGAAGGATCATGGGATGAATTTTGATCCTTTCATGTATTCCTATTTTTCTCTTTTTTTGTGGTTTTAATACATATCAAACACAGTATTTCTTTCTTTGAATAAATGTCTCATCATGCATTAAGCAAATATGGTATCGTTTGGGCAATTTAGTTTATTTTATTCCTTCTAGCTTTAAACTTCAGATTTGCTTTCATTTAGTCACAATGAACAGTTTTTTAGTATAAGCAGTTCTTTTAAAGTCACGCCACAGGATCTCAATGGGAATTCAGATAAGGACTTTGACTAGGCCGCTCCAAACTCTGTTTTGTTTCTCTACCGCTGTTCAGAGGTAGATTTGCTGAAAGATTTATTAGTAGATAACATAATTCATGGTTCAATTTATCACCGCAGGTCTTTCAGGTTGTGAAGCAGCTAAACAACTCCTGGCCATCACACCACCACCACCGTGTTTATACTGTTGGTGTGAATATTTTTCATTTGAAATGTGGAATTTCTTTTACGCCAGATATAATAGGAAACATAACTTTTAATAATCAACTTTTATTGATCTCACATTGGAGAAATTAACCTCTGCATTTAACCCATCCCCTTGGGGAGCAGTGGGCTGCAACCATGGGGCACCCAGGGAGCAGTGTGGGGTTGAGGGTTTTGCTCAGAGACCCAGAGTGGCAGTCTGTGGGAGTGGTTAGGATTCCAGTTTGTGGGGCTTGTTTTGCTCTTTTGCAGTTCCACTGTGCACCCACCAGATGGTGCCATTGTCCTCTGCTGATCTGGAGGGCTCCCTGTTCTCCTCACCTCACACCTGCAGCCTATTGGGTCATCACTTCCTGAGGAGTACTTAAGGAGCAGACTCTCTTCACTTCCTGGCCACAGTGTTTGCCAGTATTG